TCTCTCTCCTTCTCTCTCTCTCTCTCTCTCTCTCTCTCTCTCTCTCTCTCTTAACCCCATCAAAATGGCCGTAAGAGGCAAATTTCAATTTTGTGCAGTGAAAAAAACAACAAAAATTAAGTTTATGGAAATACCAGTTCTAACTATTAAATAATTCATTTCCAATAGTTATATGCTAATTACTAGATAGTAGTCAATCATTGCTGAACTGGTGTGCGTCCCTACACCGCATGCGTCTTTTTTATGTTATTATTATTATTGTTTTTTTTTTTTAAAGGGGGAATTCCTTTCCGATCATGGATGGCATCCCATCCCTACAGCGCATAATTTTTTTTTATATTTTTTTAATATTAAGGGTGATTTTTTTTTATTTTTTTTAAATTTTTTTTAAGTTGTCCAACCCCTTCATATTCTGGGGGGAATCAGTCCGGTTACTAATCACTGGCAAGCATGGAAAAAAAAAAAAAAAGGATTAAGATGAACCGACAACCATAACCTTTTTCCTTGCTGAGGTCATGGCATACGTAGTAGTATATTAATACTGTATTATTATGAAACGCGCCGTAGGGGCTCGTGTGCCTGGGCTCGTGTGCCTTGAACTGAGAGTAGTGAGGCCATACTCAAACGAGGACTTTGCTGGATGTATCTGACCACTTTAACGGCCAGGGCATGACGCATCTGATCGCAATCACGTCCAGAGCTCAGTCGAAAAATTCCTAGTGCAAAAAAAAAAAAAAAAAAAAAACCGGGATCTCTTCCCGGGTCACGTGGTAGGTTTGGTGCACAGGAGTGAATGCGAGAACAAGGCTGTACTTAGTATTTCGCTTGATGAGGAACACCATGAGCACTGGGCCCTCGCTCCACTAAGCATCGCTCTACATGCATTTGGGCGCTTTCAGGACCAGCTGCATTCGGAAATGTCCAACATTTTGAATGTACCGGGTCCCAAAAGCGTCCAAATGCACGTACTAAGAGTGTTGTGCAGTGGAGCGACGCCCACTCATTGATAACAGCCATCCTCGGCAACCGTTACGTACGTCTCCCTTTCGACGGATCAACTAATTAATGCGGTCAATTTTTTTATTTTTTATTTTTATTTTTACTTTTATTTATTTTTATTTTTATTTTTATTTTTATTTTTCACGCACGAAAAACACACTCTTGCCAATCATATTGCCCGCCTTCGGCAACGAAGATCAACGATCGGGATCTCATACCACAGGTAACGAAGACCCACGGTCGGCGTCTTTTATCATAGATAAGGAAGACCAACGGCAGGGATCGCTTATACCATAGATAATAACGAAAATCCACGGTCGGGGTCTCTTAGCATAGGTGACGAATATCAACGGTCGGGATCTCTTATAATCCGTGCAAGTGGGACCTCTCTCGCTGGGGGATTCCACACACACATACACATACCCAGACACGGACACACACACACACACACACACACAGACACAGAGAGAGAGAGAGAGAGAGAGAGAGAGAGAGAGAGAGAGAGAGAGAGAGAGAGAGAGAGAGAGAGAGAGGGAGAAGTCCGTGTGACTTTTTTGTTGTTTTTTTGAAGTGACTTGTTTTATGGATGGACGGTGTTTATTTTTTAATGTTCTTTAATAGAAATTAGGTCTGACAACTTGCATGCCGCCTGCATGAGCACGAACACGTGGCGAGGCCATTAATTATATGTTCATCGAACCTGAAATTCGCAATAAATAGGCGGGTTAAAATAAAAATGAAAAAAAGAGAACGGGCGTTGTGTTTGAGGGATGGAATAATAAGGTACACATTTTCTTTGTTTTTTTAATGGATTGGGTGTAGTGGGGACGATAGATTTATATATGTTTGTGACGATATATATATCGTCACAAATCGTATGTTGTCCTCTTCTCTCTCTCTGCCTACGGTTTTACCGGGCAGTTCTGTTTGTGACGATATATATTATATATGTAACTCCGACGAAACAGTTTGTCACAGCCCCTCGTTAGTTGTCCTTTTCTCTCTCTCTGCCTACGGTTTACCAGGCAGTTCTGTTTGTGACGATATATATATATATATATATATAACAGCCACAAATGTCTGCCTACAGCCTTATCAGCGTCAATGTTATACTGCATCCCAATTTGTTCCGATTGCTTATCAGCTTGACGCTGTTGAAAATCAGTTGTTGTATGATCATAATAGTCCACCTCCTGAGGGTAGGGAGTAAATATACTCTACCTCAGGAGGGGCTTTACTGTAAATGTCTTACAACTACCGGTAGCATTCCACGGTCGCCACCTTCTTATGCATCATGCGACGCCAGGGGATGACCTCAATAACCATCCTCATATCACAGACCCGGGCACTATATGGCACTCATTAGTGCAGCTGCCCAGTGGGAACTGTGGGATGGTGGGACGATGAGTCAGGCTATTTTTGATGTAAATGAATTTTTAGGGGCATTGTCGAATCATACTTTATTTGGGATTATTGACCGACTCGCGTGTGACACCTGTCGGGACAGAGACGCGGTGCGCCTTGGCTGTGGAATGCATCATCTATGCCATAGCCATTATCAATCTATTGCGACTACCGCTGTCTGTGCTGAAGGGTGTCCAACATTTCCTCATTGTACACATCCCTGTCATCCAGATATACGTTGTCCCTTTTGTGCCCAAGGACGCTATCAGAACTGCATGATGCCGCACTGTGATGAACGTCCTGCGGTTGTTTTGACATGTGGACAACATCATGATGTCCTCTGTCAGGACTGTTTTGATGGGATGGTTCGTGCTAGCCGTCCTGCTGAATGCTGTGCTGGCGCAGCTCTCCTTGGGTATCCTTGTGAACATCCACATCATCCTCACCGTAGCTGTCCTATCTGCCGAGGTGTGGACAGTTAAAGGAAAAAAGAAAAAAAGAAAAAAAGAAAAAAAGAAAAAAAGAAAAAAAGAAAAAAAGGAAAAGAAAAAAAGAGAAAATAAGAAAATAAGAAAATAAGGGAAAAACTATATATATGTTGATCTGTGGGATGTGTTATTTGTTTTGTGACAATTGGATTATCTGTGTGATGTGGCATTTGCTTTGTTTGACTGATACGCTTTCTTTCCCTGTCAGGTTTGGTTTCCTCCTCCTTTTCTTTACCTCTTTTTTGCCTTTTGGCTGCGTGCAAGGGTAAAACCGTAAAACCGTAAAATGCAAAAAAAAAAAAAAAAAAAAAAGAAGTTGTGTTTCCCCCCTTCCCCCCCTTATGCCTCATGCCAGTTCAATTAATTGAACTCGCTCCACTTCTCACCCAATGTCCAAAATAAGAAAGAATGAATCTTCCGCTCGAACATGGAAAGATACACCAGTATACCTGTTGTCTTTTGTGCATGTGGCGAGTCTTCCTGTGTTTTCATTTTTTTTTGTTTTTTGTGTCGGGATCGATGTACTTGCCATGAGTCCTTTTTTTTTCTTTTTCAATTCAAAAATTTCGAAACTCTTTTCCAAAAAAGAAACTAAAGAAAAACGTTGTCCATCTCGCGCCCCTTTCTCCTCGTTCGGTTCCTCACTGCTCTCCACTCCATTTTTTTTTTTTTTTTGGGTCTATCAGAAGAATTTCCGTTTGACAAATGCAGAAAAAGTGTTACACTTCGTACCGGTGAGCGTACACCCATTGACTGTTGAAATACAGGCCTGGGCTTGAATCTTTTTTTTTTTTTTTTTTTAATACCTTAGTTCGAATCCTGGGATGACCTGG